TGGTAACTGGTGCTTCACCAGTTTGCGCTGGCGCCCTCCTCAGCTTCACGCACTCTGCCGCCATATGGTCGTACGCCCCACATATTCTGCACGTACGTCTCTGTCCGGCATACGATACCATAACTTGCGTCCTGAAGTCCTCCAACACGACGTAAGACGGTATGGGATGTCTCAGAGTCATCTTCAGGGAAAAGGTACCCTCCGGACGTCCCATGTAAGCACCTGCCGTCCACTTGCCCTTTTGTGCCAGATGTACGGTTCCTATGTCCCCAAAAAACACTCCTTATGTCAGCCTCATCTGCCTCAAATGGGACATTACGTATCTTAACCCACGTAAAGTGGCGAGATACGTCGATCAAACGCACCTTCACAGCTGGAGTAGCGTCAAGACTCACGTCTTGGAACCTCGTCACCAAAGACTCATACACGGACGTGGAATTCAGTTTGACGAAGATTCTATAAGCCCCATTCAGGCTACACCATACACCTCATCGTCCTGGATTCCATAGGTCTCCCTAATGATTGTTGGGAGTAAGACTTGCACTGAAGAGGGTGAAATCGCCCCACGAAGCAGCTCAATACCTATGGTATTTACGCGCCTCCTCACACTCAGCGCCATGTTGATACAAGGTAGCTCGCCTGAACAGCAGAGGGGTGCAGCGCACAAACCCCACTCGACCATGGTCAGGCAGCGAAATGTGACGTAGAATTAGGGGGGATATGATTGAGGTGTATAAATGGAAGACAGGAATAAATAAAGGGGATGTAAATGGTGTGCTGAAAATATCTAGCCTGGACGGGACTCGCAGCAATGGTTTTAAGTTGGAAAAATTCAGATTCAGGAAGGATATAGGAAAGTACTGGTTTGGTAATAGAGTTGTGGATGAGTGGAACAAACTCCCAAATACCGTTATAGAGGCCAGAACGTTGTGTAGCTTTAAAAATAGGTTGGATAAATACATGAGTAGATGTGGGTGGGTGTGAGTTAGACCTGATAGCTTGTGCTACCAGGTCGGTTGCCGTGTTCCTCCCTTAAGTCAATGTGACCTGACCTGACTAGGTTGGGTGCATTGGCTTAAGCCGGTAGGAGACTTGGACCTGCCTTGCATGGGCCAGTAGGCCTTCTGCAGTGTTCCTTCGTTCTTATGTTCTTATGTTCTTAATGAGTCTCTCAGCCTTGGAGATGGTGTGAAGAGCACCGTAGTCGTGAAGACTCTGGAGCACAGGCAAGAAGGCTGGCGCTGATATACTGACAAGTGGATACGGACGGGTAGCTACTTGTAGATAGTCCAAGTCGGATTGAAACGTCGTGGTAAGCTCCTCTCTCCTTTGCGAGTCACGATATTGTGTCTAGTTGTCCTCTATACATAAGTTCTCAAAACCACCCATTCCCACCCACTGATTTAAAGTCCTTCAAATCTTAAATCCTAATTGAAATACTTGTACAGTTCTTACCTAAAGGGTATTCCGGGGGTCAACGCCCCCGCAAGACCGGAACTTAACCAGTTCTCCCAGTAGACTCACGGCTACCCTAGGCTCTTAGCTCTGATAAGCCCACCAACACACACTGGAGGACTTCATCCTCTCTGGCACATCAGTCACAAGTAACAGCAACCTAACAGCCAGAAGGACTAACCTTTAAAGGACTCCACTTTGACTTGTCTTAGCAAGTCCTTGACTCAGTGGCGCCCCTCTCCCCTCTCTCTACCTACACACACACACACACACACACACACACACACAAAGGATTTTATAAGATAAGGTTAAGCGTCCCGTCTTTATCTACCTTAATCTCTATTCACTGTAAACAAACACTAGGACATTTATCACACAACGTTTCGCCCCTGGGAACTGATAACTTCTAACCGAGGTTAACAAGACAGTATGCATACAGTCGGAGAGTGAGGTGTGAGTGACGCAGGTGACCTGAAGAATACCATATTGAGATGAGGACAGGTAAGCAATGAGGTCGTGTGACTCCTGTGTTGTTAGGTAGGTGATGCTGTGCCTGCTTGACTATCATGTATGCTAATGCTTGTGATAGTCTGTAGCTGCCAGTAGTTTTCCTCTCATTTGCAATCCCTGACAGGTCTTTAGACAAGCAAGACATGTGGAACAGCTGGACGAACTTTTCACGTGTAGACAAGTGTTCATAGACCCGACAAGTTGATCAATTAGACATCACCTCTACAGGTCACCACTGACCTGTACTTAGCTCAGTGGTGACCTGTACTTAGCTCAGTGAGGATGTGTCTAGTGTACTCTCTGTGGACTGAACCAAGACAGAGATACGGCGATTGACTGAGGAAAACAAGAGGATTCGAAGTAGTCCTCCTGTTGTGAGTCCTCAGGTTAAGAAGGGAACCTGGACAGTGGCTGGACAGCATGGAACGAAGTTGATGATCAAGAAGACGAATAGAAAGGTAGAAACGATGAAGAAAAAAGAGACTGCTGTGGAAACTGTTGTGGAAACATCTAATGCATTCTCCGTGCTACCAGACGAATGTGAGTCGACTACTGGAAACGTCACGACGAACGACACCAAGGAAGGTAAAAACATTGTTGTTGTTGGGGATAGCCAGGTTAGGTATATGGATAGGGCATTCTGCTTGAAGGACAGGAGACAGAGAGTTTGCTTTCCTGGGGCTGGGATGGAGGATATTGTTAGCCGGCTTGACAACATCATGAACGGTAATGGGATCAATCCTATTATCTGCCTCAGTGCTGGAGGCAATGATGTAGGCAAGCGTAGAAGTGAGAACTTAGTTAGAAAGTTCAGGACAGCAATAGACATAATTAGGAAGAAGGGGGGCACCCTGTTATATGTGGTATTTTGCCAAGCAGGGCCATAGTATGGACCAGCAGAGAGGGAGGGCCATGGTATGGACCAGCAGAGAGGGAGGGCCATGGTGTGGACCAGCAGAGGGAGGGCCATGGTATGGACCAGCAGAGGGAGGGCCATGGTATGGACCAGCAGAGAGGGAGGGCCATGGTATGGACCAGCAGAGGGAGGGCCATGGTATGGACCAGCAGAGGGAGGGCCATGGTATGGACCAGCAGAGAGGGAGGGCCATGGTATGGACCAGCAGAGAGGGCGGGCCATGGTATGGACCAGCAGAGAGGGAGGGCCGTGGTATGGACCAGCAGAGAGGGAGGGCCATGGTATGGACCAGCAGAGAGGGAGGGCCATGGTATGGACCAGCAAAGGGAGGGCCATGGTATGGACCAGCAGAGAGGGAGGGCCATGGTATGGACCAGCGGAGAGGGAGGGCCATGGTATGGACCAGCAGAGGGAGGGCCATGGATGGACCAGCAGAGAGGGAGGGCCATGGTATGGACCAAAGAGAGGGAGGGCCATGGTATGGACCAGCAGAGAGGGAGGGCCATGGTATGGACCAGCAGAGGGAGGGCCATGGTATGGACCAGCAGAGAGGGAGGGCCATGGTATGGACCAGCAGAGAGGGAGGGCCATGGTATGGACCAGCAGAGAGGGAGGGCCATGGTATGGACCAGCAGAGAGGGAGGGCCATGGTATGGACCAGCAGAGGGAGGGCCATGGTATGGACCAGCAGAGAGGGAGGGCCATGGTATGGATCAGCAGAGAGGGAGGGCCATGGTATGGACCAGCAGAGAGGGAGGGCCATGGTATGGACCAGCAGAGGGAGGGCCATGGTATGGACCAGCAGAGGGAGGGCCATGGTATGGACCAGCGAGAGGGAGGGAGGCCATGGTATGGACCAGCAGAGAGGGAGGGCCGTGGTATGGACCAGCAGAGAGGGAGGGCCATGGTATGGACCAGCAGAGAGGGAGGCCATGGTATGGACCACAGAGAGGGAGGGCCATGGTATGGACCAGCAGAGGGAGGGCCATGGTATGGACCAGCAGAGAGGGAGGGCCATGGTATGGACCAGCAGAGAGGGAGGGCCATGGTATGGACCAGCAGAGAGGGAGGGCCATGGTATGGACCAGCAGAGAGGGAGGGCCATGGTATGGACCAGCAGAGAGGGAGGGCCATGGTATGGACCAGCAGAGAGGGAGGGCCATGGTATGGACCAGCAGAGAGGGAGGGCCATGGTATGGACCAGCAGAGGGAGGGCCATGGTATGGACCAGCAGAGAGGGAGGGCCATGGTATGGACCAGCAGAGAGGGAGGGCCATGGTATGGACCAGCAGAGAGGGAAGGCCATGGTATGGACCAGCAGAGGGAGGGCCATGATATGGACCAGCAGAGGGAGGGCCATGGTATGGACCAGCAGAGGGAGGGCCATGGGGAGTGGACAAAAATGGGAAGAAAACTGGGCCAGAAATAGGTCAGTAAATAGGGTGAGACAAACCCCGCCGGGCTACACATACCCACATATCAAGGTTGTGTCTTTGATACCGGTGAGGGGCTCTTGATGCAACTTCTCCCAGGGACTGATTACCTTATACTCCAGATCTTCAGTCATTCTTCAGGGACTGATTACCTTATACTCCAGATCTTCAGTCATTCTTCAGGGACTGATTCCCTCAAAGCCCTGATGTTCAGTCAGTCTTGGTCGTACTGGCTGGATATCCAGGACCACAACTTAAATAAGTCACTTGATCTGACCTTTTTTTTTGGTTGTTTTAGTGGGTAATCTACACATATGCTGCTATGTATGATAATCTATGTAAATGTATTTACGTGCGGCCAGCAGTAACAGCCAGGTTGATCAGACTCTGATCCACCACGAGGCCTGGTCTCAGACCAGGCCGCGGGGGCGCTGACCCCTGAAACCTTCTCCAGGTACGTGTACCTGGATAAGCTTACGTCTAAATTGTGATGTCAACACACTTCTGAAGTGTGATGTCAACACACTTTTGGAAAGACAGTGACTGACTGAATGACGGTAAATACTTTTTCTTTCGAGGCGACCTACACTGGTGGGATATAGCCAGCGTGTTTAAAAAACGTACATAACGATTAATAACGGTATACAACGGCTAAATAACGGCAAGAAACGGTGAACAGGACTCACCTTGCCAGTAGTAGCTGCCAACGGCTCCCACATAGAGACGATTCCCGTTCTGGTGAGACAAAAGATGTCAGGATGTGTTAAGTGACTCTCCATCCAGGGAAATGGAGTTACCATCCCCTTCCTTGGATCAAACTTAGTCACATGTGTATATCTAAATCTTTATACACTGATAATACTGAATAAACATCAGATACATTATAAATGCAACAGTTACTTTGTTACTTAAGTTAGGGTGGTACTTAGCTTCCTTAATCAGGGTTATGGCAAAGGTGTTTGAGAGTGACTTTCAGGGCTATACACCTGGTTTAAGGGGAAGATTTCGGAGGGTACGTACCTGTGTTAGGGTGGTGCTGATGCCAGCTTGACAGGAACCCTGACGGTGGTAGCCCCAGGAAGCTGCGGGGGAGACAAGTGGTGGCAGTTAGTGGGGGAGGTTAGCCTAGGTTAAGTTAGGTTAGTCTAGGTTTAGTTAAAGTTAGGTGTGTGTTCTAAGCAGTGAGTACACACAGACACACACACACACACACACACACACACACACACACACACACACACACACACACACATACACACGCACACGCACACACACACACACACACACACACACACACACACACACACAACAACAACACTGGTACAATTATACCCCACATGGGTTGTATAATTCACATTATAATTAAAAATGAACAATTAGGGTGAAGGAAGAGAGTGAAATATAACACCGGGGACCGGGGAGCAAATGACACCATCGTGGGCAGAAACTTAATGAAGAACACCAAGAAAATAACTCCAGAGAGAGAAGGCAGGACGGCAGGACGGCAGGAAGGAAGGCAGGAAGGAAGGAAGGCAGGACGGCAGGAAGGAAGGAAGGCAGGATGGAAGGAAGGCAGGACGGAAGGAAGGCAGAACGGCAGGACGGCAGGAAGGAAGGCAGGAAGGAAGGCAGGAAGGAAGGAAGGATGGAAGGAAGGTAGGACGGCAGGAAGGAAGGAAGGCAGGAAGGAAGGCAAGAAGGAAGGCAGAACGGCGGGAAGGCAGGAAGGCAGGAAGGCAGGAAGGAAGGCAGGATGGAAGGAAGGTAGGACGGCAGGAAGGAAGGAAGGCAGGAAGGAAGGCAAGAAGGAAGGCAGAACGGCAGGAAGGCAGGAAGGCAGGAAGGAAGAAAATGAAGGAGAGTGAGGGAACACATGCACTCATTTATTTAGCAAAAAAATGGATACCTCTGCAATGTGCTGATACAGTATCATACAACAGAGCGGGAAGGTAATGTGAAAGACCTGGGAGTGGTAATGTCTGAAGATCTCACACTGAAAGATCACAGCAATGCCACTATCACAACTCCAAAGAAAATGATAGGAGGGAACAATAGATAGATGTGCTTCACTGTCATATTCAGCCATACAGGATGGTGTTTCACTGTCATACTCCATCATGTTGGATTAGGTTCATACAAGATGCTAAAATCCGTCAGCCTGAGCTGGGAGACTCCAGTAAGACACTGACAGACACAATAATTGTCTGGGGCTCCCAGCATACATAAGGGATATTACCAATAGACCCCTGGCTGTCTTCAAGACCCTGGCTGTCTTCAAGACCCTGGCTGTCTTCAAGACCCTGGCTGTCTTCAAGACCCCTGGCTGTCTTCAAGACCCTGGCTGTCTTCAAGACCCCCTGGCTGTCTTCAAGACCCTGGCTGTCTTCAAGACCCTGGCTGTCTTCAAGACCCCTGGCTGTCTTCAAGACCCTGGCTGTCTTCAAGACCCCTGGCTGTCTTCAAGACCCTGGCTGTCTTCAAGACCCCTGGCTGTCTTCAAGACCCCCTGGCTGTCTTCAAGACCCTGGCTGTCTTCAAGACCCCTTGGCTGTCTTCAAGACCCCTGGCTGTCTCCAAGGCCCCTGACTGTCTTCAAGACCCCCAGGTTGTCTTCAAGACCCTGGCTGTCTTCAAGACCCCCTGGCTGTCTTCAAGACCCCTGGCTATCTTCAAGGCCCCTGACTGTCTTCAAGACCCCCTGGCTGTCTTCAAGACCCCTGACTGTCTTCAAGACCCCTGGCTGTCTTCAAGACCCCCTGGTTGTCTTCAAGACCCCCTGGCTGTCTTCAAGGCCCCTGACTGTCTTCAAGACCCCCTGGTTGTCTTCAAGACCCCTGGCTGTCATCAAGACCCCATGGCTGTCTTCAAGGCCCCTGGCTGTCTTCAAGATCCCCCTACTGCACGTATAAGTTCTGTCAAGCACCTTAACTACTGAGAACGCTTGGAAGCACTTGACTTGTACTCGTTGGAACGCAGGAGGGAGAGATATATCATAATCTACACTTGGAAAATCTTGGAAGGAATGGTCCCAAATCTGCACACAGAAATCACTCCCTACGAAAGTAAAAGACTGGGCAGACGATGCAAAATGACCCCAATTAAAAGTAGGGGCGCCATTGGTAAATTAAGGAAAAACACCATAAGTGTCCGGGGCCCAAGACTGTTCAACAGCCTCCCATCAAGCATTAGGGGAATTGTCAATAATCCCCTGGCTGCCTTCAAGTGAGAGCTGGACAGATACCTAAAGTCTGTGCCGGATCAGCCGGGCTGTGGCTCGTACGTTGGACTGCGTGCGGTCAGCAGTAACAGCCTGGTTGATCAGGCCCTGATCCACGGGGAGGCTTGGTCATGGACCGGGCCGCGGGGGCGTTGATCCCCGGAACCACATCCAGGTAACCTCCAGGTAATCCCTGGCTGTCTTCAAGACCCCCCTGGCTGTCTTCAAGACTCCCATGGCTGTCTTCAAGACCCCCCTGGCTGTCTTCAAGACTCCCATGGCTGTCTTCAAGACCCCCCTGGTTGTCTTCAAGACGGCGCTGGACAAATACCTCATGTCAGTACCTGACCAGCCGGGCTGTGGTTCATACGTTGGTATACGTGTGGCCAGCAGAAACATCCTGGTTAATCAGGTCCAAATCCACCACGAGGCCTGGTCATGGACCGGGCCGCGGGAGGAAAGCAGGAAACACTTGTCCTGTTTCCTGACAAACCTTACCTAACCTAACCTGAAGACCAGCGTAAGGAAACACTTGTCCTGTTTCCTGACAAACCTTACCTAACCTAACCTGAAGACCAGCGTCAGGAAACACTTGTTCTGTTTCCTGACAAACCTTACCTAACCTAACCTGAAGACCAGCGTCAGGAAACACTTGTCTTGTTTCCTGACAAACCTTACCTAACCTAACCTGAAGACCAGCGTCAGGAAACACTTGTCCTGTTTCCTGACAAACCTTACCTAACCTAACCTGAAGACCAGCGTCAGGAAACACTTGTTCTGTTTCCTGACAAACCTTACCTAACCTAACCTGAAGACCAGCGTCAGGAAACACTTGTTCTGTTTCCTGACAAACCTTACCTAACCTAACCTGAAGACCAGCGTCAGGAAACACTTGTCCTGTTTCCTGACTATGTCTTATAGCCTATTCCAAACACAGAAGAAATGGGAATTTATATGGGACAGTGACCATCACCACAGATGGTTGCAACTTCATCTGTCCCTTAGTTGTATATCTCTTAACAATAAAATGACTTTCAAATGAGCTGATGTAGGTAACAGCTCTTACCTTGTAAATAAAGTCAGGAACCTTAACTTAAACTAACCCTGTGTAAGAGAGAGAGAGAGAGAGAGAGAGAGAGAGAGAGAGAGAGAGAGAGAGAGAGAGAGAGAGAGAGAGAGAGAGAGAGAGAGAGACATATGGATGCTACAAAAACAAGGAGGGTTGTGAAGGAACCATCCTGTTTACGACAGACCGAGGGAGTGAATTACACCAGGGGGTAACTGCCTCATTTTTCCCGACCTTCGCTTCGCTGACTCCGGACAATTTCGCCGTGAATTGTTTTAGACTTCTTGTACTCCGGCAATTATATAATTTTTTCCCCACAAGCTAAAATATAAAGGGTGATGCACCAGTATTTTTAACATTAACAGGTACAAGAATATTCTGCAACAGAAAATATAATATCTTAAGAGATAATATTCAAAAATACATTGAAACTCCCATGGAAAGATGTCACTGATGTTTTAGCGTTATTCTGGTGGATAATTTACACTATGTATGATAATTGCACTTATACACACCTGTGCCTATATAAATTTACGTACGTGTATAACTCAGTGTACATAAGAAGACAGAATTAAGCCTCCAAGAAGATATTTACCTGGAGTTTACCTGGAGAGAGTTCCGGGGGTTAACGCCCCCGCGGCCCGGTCTGTGACCAAGTTTTCCAATGGGTAACGGAAAACAAAATGATGTTCAATGAAGACAAATTCCAACTACTCCGTTATGGAAAACTGGAGGAAATAATTAGAAATGAACATACTACAAATTCTGATCATACAACAGAGCGAAAAAATAATGTGAGGGACCTGGGAGTGGTAATGTCTGAGGATCTCACTTTCAAGGATCACAACAGTGCCATGATCACAACTGCAAAGAAAATGATAGGATGGATAATGAGAACGTTTAAAACAAGAGATGCCAAGCTAATGACGATCCTTTTCAAATCACTTGTTCTCTCTAGGCTGGAATACTGCTGTACACTAACATCTCTGTTCAAAGAAGGTGAAATTGCAGAACTAGAGAATGTACAGAGAACCTTTACTGTACGTATAACTTCCATCAAACATCTCAACTACTGGGAGCGCCTGGAAGCACTTGACTTGTACTCACTGGAGCGCAGGCGAGAGATATATTATAATTACACTTGGAAAATCCTAGAAGGAATGGTCCCGAATCTGCACACACATCACTCCCTACGAAAGTTTAAGACTTGGCAGGCGATGCAAAATACTCCCAATGAAAAGTAGGGGCGCCATTGGTACACCATAAGTGTCTGGGGCCCAAGACTGTTCAACAGCCTCACATCATGCACAAGGGGAATTGCCAATAGACCCCTGGCTGCCTTCAAGACCCCTGGCTGCCTTCAAGACCCCTGGCTGCCTTCAAGACCCCTGGCTGCCTTCAAGATGGAGCTGGACAGATACTTAAAGAAGTGCTGGATCAGTCTGACTGTGGTTCGTACGCTGGACTACGTGCGGCCAGCAGTAAAAGCCTGGTTGATCAGGCCGTGATCCACCGGGAGGCCTGGTCGTGGACCGGGCCGCGGGGGCGTTGGCCCCCGAAATACCCTCCAGGTAGCTAGACAGAGAAACACTGTAACTCATTCTGCTGCGAGAATCAAAATCCCGAGGCGATATTTCCAAGTTAATCTTAAGAAATCTAACATTAAACTGTACCTTATGTTAAATTATGGAGGCTCGTTATCCCTGGCGTTCTCTCTGGGGTTAATTACGGAGGAGATGAGAGGGGAGACGGAGATAAAAAGTCAGAGAGAGAGAGAGACAGGGAGGAGGCTAGACGTA